TAATGTTTTTTAAATTTTTATGTTTTATGTATTTATATGTATTTATTGTTTTAATGTTTTGTGTGAACCACCCAGAGCCCCCCATTGGGGGGAGATGGGCAGGGGAGAAAATAACGAACTAAATAACTAACTAACCCTCTTCATAGGACTGCCATTCAGAAATTTCAGCTATAGGAATTTTAGCCAGGCCAGAACATGGTAGCAAAGATCAGAATTGGGAATCTATGTCTGTAAACTGTATTACAATGAATTTCTCCTACTGTACTTTAGCTATAAGTACAATTCAAAGTCTTTGTATTGCAGTTAGTCTAGTCCTAGGATACCTAATGGGCTATCTCAGCTCACTTGACCCTATTATTCCTTTAAATCAGTGTTGTTTAAAGTTGGCAGCTTTAAGGTATGTGGCTGGGGAATTCTGGGAGTTGAAGTCCCCACATCTTAAAGTTGCCAACTTTGAAAAACACTGCTTTAAATTTAGTATGGGAAATTATTTTCCATTTCATTCTGCAGATAACCACAACATAATTGTTTGTTGCCCAAATCTGGGAGAATTATTTTCTGTAGCTGTACCTGGATCACAGTATGGAATTCACTTCCTGGGAAATTCACCATAGACACACCCAGCTTCTGTTCAAGATGCTGTTGTTCTAGCAGGCATTTTCCTTGATGAGCTGAATAATTTCAATATGCGGATGTTATTTCTTAAAACATGTGCTTCCGTTTCTAGGATGATATGATGGTATTGACTGTTATGGTATTTTATTAATTTGGCATTTGTGTTTTTAAACTGTTGAAAGCCACCTGGAGTGTTGTGACAAGAAGGCTGAATTTTTATAAAACAAAAAGTTTATTTCAGCCTAATTAGTAAAGAACGTTAAAATACTGATTATTAGTGTTATGTATCTGAAGCAAGTAGGACTGCTATTAAATCAAAAGTAGAACCATAGAAAAACAAATAAAAAAATTACCATAAATATTTACTTATTTAAATTAATTTTAGCCACCCACTCCCATAGACTCTGGGTGGCTTACAAATGCAAATCCAAAACACTAAAAACCATTAAAAACACACAACCCCATAGGCAGCCCAGACTAAAACTATCAAACCATAAGAAATCAAACCAAATGAGGGGCCCTACAAACTCATCAACTCCAAGCCTAGGACCAAAGTCAGATTTTAAGAGCTCTCCAGAACCCTAGGAGAGAGGGGGTGTCCACATCTTTGGGGGGGGTGCTGTTCCAGAGGGCGAAGGCTGTGACAGAAAAGGCACACTTCCTTGGTTCCATAAGATGGCAATATTTAATAGAGGGACCTGGAGCACGCTCGCTCTGCTGGAACGTAGGCAGAAACAGTGGGAATAGGTGGTCCCTCAGGTATCCAGGCCCTATGCCATAAAGTTATCCTTTTTTTTGTCCACACCCACTTCAAACCCAGTGCATGTGGACACGATCTGTAATATTCAGTGACAGCAGCCTTATTGGCCTTGCTGTGATCCTCATTACTCAGTATTTTCCACAGAAGTGGAAGCGGAGAGCAGAGCATAGTGTGACAGAGAAGGAAGCAAAAAATACTGTACTGTACAAGAAATTGTAAAGCACAGATAAACTGCTGATTTTTGCTGAAGGCATTTGGAAAGAGAACAAGGTATTGTAATCTGAATACAAACAGAAAAGTAGTTAAAGTTATTGTTTTAGAGCCTCACACCTTACCCCCAGGTGATTCCACTTTTAGCTGCTTGAGAAATGCAGCTCCAGCTCATTTGAAGTGGACTCAAAGCGCCTGGTGTTCTCGGCTCACACAAATAAAATTAAAGTTTCCTGACTCCTGGGGCCTTTCATGGGTGCATCTATGCAGGTTTTCTTGACCTGATATGGAAGTGGTTTGCCACTGACTTCTTCGGGATATTTTTTTTTCACTACTCGAGTTCCCTTAAAAACCTGATCTCCATAAAGGTTAAGCATTACAAGTAGTCCTCAACTTACAATCACAATTGGGACTGGAATTTCCGTCATTAAGCAATGCAGTTGTAAAGTGAGATGTCATGTAACTACATCGCTTAGAGACCACAATCCTGGCAAGCCCTGTTGCTGTCATTAACTGAGAATTGTGGGTTGTTAAGCAAGTACCCACCCCAACCCAAGCCATTCCAGGCTTAGTCCCCCTCCCAGCCCCAAGCCTCAGTAAGGTAAGGGATTGCCTCCAACTCTCCCCATCTGCTTATCCCCCCCATCTCTGTCCTTCTGGCCGCCCTGCACCCTGCCTTGCGGGGCAACAAGCAGCCCCAGAACCATGAGGCTCTGGAGCTGCTTGCCACACTCTGGGAAACCGCAGCTGCCCCAGCCCAGTCCTAGCCACAGTTGCCCTCGCCAGCCTGCACTCCGAGACCCTTGCCGCCCTGTACTCTGCCGCCTCAGCTGATTTTCACCAACTTCTTGTACCCACTGACGAGGTGTGCCTGGCCTTGCTGCTGGGCTGGGCTTCAGCTGTGGGGAAAAAAAAAGCCAAAAGCAGCCCCAGAGCCATGGCACACCAAAAAGCCCCTTTGCAAAACGCTCCTGGAGCACAGCACACCAAAACGCCCCTTTGCGCCATGCTCCTGGGTGGGGTTGGGCTGGGCTTTTGGTTTGCACTGTAAAAAAGAAAAAGAAAAAAGCCAAAAGCTCCCCAGCCTGGTGCAAATAAGAAAGCCAGCCAATGGGGAAGGCAGGAGGTGGTTTCGCCCAATGGGAAAGTGCTGGGGGTTGACTCAAGGAGCCACATGTAGGAAGAGTTTGCTGGAGAAGCTGGAGGGTGCAGAATGCCAGCCAGTGGGGAAGGCCGGAAGTGCTTTCACCTAATGGGAAAGCACTGGGGATTGGCTCAGGGAGCCACTTATAGGGAGCTTGAGTGCCTGGGATAACATGGTGGTCAGAGATCCAAAAAGGAGACAGCAAAGGCAGCAAGGTACGTGTGCTTCAGCTGTGGTGGCTGGATGCAAAAGGTGAAAGGTCAGTGCGGTGAATTGGGAGAGAAGGCAGCTGGGTGAACAAATGAAAGGGAGCAAAACTTTACCCAATGGCTCACGAAACAAACTCTGAGCACGAAGGGGGAAGGAGGACGCTGGTGTGTGCAACTGAGCAAAGAGGGAAGGAGGGTGCAAGTGAGCGAAGAAAGGCCGAGATGGGTGGGGAACACTTACCCAAGCGACTTGCAGCCTCCTCTGCCAGTTTCCCCATTGACTTTCCTTATGGGAAGCTGGCAGGGAAGGATGCAAATGGCAATCATGTGATCGCAGGGTGCTTGGCAACCCAGTTGTAAGTATGAATGGGTTGCCAAGCACCCAGATTGCAATCATGTGACCAAGAGGACGCTGCAATGGCTGTAACTTCAGGGATCAGTTGTAAGTCCATTTTTTCAGCACGTCGTAACTTCAAACAGTTGCTGAATGGTCATAAGTCGAGGATTACCTGTACTATGCATCACAAGCCTTTTACTTATGATTTTGTTCATAAAATGCTGAATGCTCAAACTGAGATCAGCTGCATTAGAAGTGTAGCACCTTTTATTGTAAATACCATATTGTTTACCACCAAAATACAAGTATTTTTAAAAAATACAGTTTTAGTCTTCTGCACTGGATATTAAGTTGCTCCAACATCCCAAAAAGAATACAACAAATTACTTGGGCCAGGACTGGTTCAAGGTAAGCAGTCTATAATACAGAACTGACTCCCTGTAGTTCCAAAATAAAGTTGTATCTGTCATTAAATATACCCCATTTTTCAAAAGGAGGTAAGCTATTAAACACGTCTATACAATTAAACTGCAGTAGCTAAAGGTTAATATTGTATCTCCAAAGCAGGGTGGAATTAATTTGAAATGGTAAGTTCCAAGAAAACCAAATTTGAGCCTGCAGTAGCCCAGTATTACAAGTTTAACTTAAATGTGTAAGTGAAGTAAAAGAAAAATCTGACTAGGCATGACGGCTGTTCCACTTTTTAGAATCTTAGAATACCACAGCTGGAAGGGCCATTGAGCCCAGCCCCTTTCTTCAGTTTCAGAAACCACGTTAAATCATTCTGGATGGATGGCTTTCTACATTCTACTTGAACACATCGAGGGAAGGGGACCCTACCAGCTCTCTGCATATTCAGTTCCACTAACAATCTGCTTTGTTAGGATATTTTTTTCCTCCTAGAATTCAATGGGCATCTACCTTTCAATCACTTAAATTGTTATTCCAGGTCTTGCATCATGGAATAACAGGGAACTGGTCTTTTATTTTCTTTTGTGCGGCATTCTTTCAGTATTGAAGAGTTCCCTCAGCCTTTCTTTAAGGCTAAAGGTACTAAGTTTATTCTCTCTCTTTTGATAGGATTCTGTTCTTAGTCCTCTGATAATCCTCACTGCCCTTCTCTGCACTGATCCAATTCCTCTAAAACCTTCTTGAAACATGACACCCAGAACAGGATACAACACTCAGGGGAGTGGGGGGGATCTGACCAAAGCAGAATAAATGGGTTACTTCTCATGATTAATTAAGGAACAGCTCTTCTGTTGATGCAACCTAAAATTACATTTGCTGCTTTTGCAGCCTCATTACCTTGTTAACTCATATTCAGTTTGTAATCAACTAGTGCTCCAAGTTATTTTTCAAAAGTATCATTAGGAAGTAAGATATCCCAATACACTTGATTTTTTTCCCACCAAGTTTCCTTTGAGCTTTAATGGTAAAGCAAGCAAACAAACAAACAAACAACCCTTTATCTTTCAATGTTAAGGCCACATTTAGCTACTCTTATGAACCTACTTTGTAAAATATAAGAGAATCAAAAACAGAATTAGGAAGAGTTACTCTGGGATTGAAACTGCTCTCCACCTGGAGAGTCAGAATGAGAAGTTGGAACCTGCCTGTACACTTTGAGACAAGGCATTGTAACAAGTGGCCTTCTGTTCCATTAGACTCAGGAGAATTTTTTTTAAATTTCCAAAAAGGTAATACTTCAATATATCAGGTTTTATTTTTAAACATTTTAATAAGGAAAACATTATAAAGGTATATAAAGAAAATATCTATATTGTTTATATTATACAATATAAATAAATGTATGAACACTTTACAATATCATTGGTACTGCACAGGAAAAAAAAATTGGTAATCAGTCAGATCTCCTCTTTTCTGCAACTTCCCTGAATGTATGGATGTTCAAACATATTACCAGTCCAACAAATTTAGCTTGCAAGCCCACTTTGTATGCATCATACAATCAAAAGTTTCCCAGACTGGATGTGAATGGGGGCTTACCAGTATTATATGCATTTCAGAGAAAACTGTTGTTTAACAACTGATTAATCTTCTACAAAACCAAGGCTCCTAGGGCAGGAGAGACCTGAGAGAACAGAGGTAGTGTTAAAACTCACCACTGGTTTCTTCTCTCATAAAGCTTGGTTGTTGGGAGTATGATTTCTGAAGCTGACCTAAATATAAACTAATTGCAGGAAGGATGCATCTGTCTTAACCTGATGATTCCCATGGAATGAATGAAATGGAGCATGAAAATTACATGGATTATTTTTGGTTACTACAGGTCTTTAGTCTATCTCAATAGTCTCTGGTCTTACGAGTTTTCATTTTTTTTGAACTTTGAATATTCTGGACTTCATATGAAGTTTGGAATGAAACAGTTTATGTTCTATCGTAGATACTTCTTCATGGATGAGAGATGGCTGTACTCTCAGGAGGAAGGAAAACAGATCTAGCACAAACTGATAGGTATGGGGAAAATCTGATTCACTGTACTGTCCGTTATGACCACACACCCTAACAAAGAGAGAAACAACATTGTAGAAAAAGTAGCACAAATGTATTCTAAAATAACAAAATTCAGAAAAAGAGGCCAATTCATAAATACTAATACACTTGTGGGCTTAAAATGAAGGAAGCTTCCAAAGTTTCTTTGGAGGAAAGACAGGATATAAATATATAAAGGCAGGCTATAAATATAAACAAACAGCAAACAAGGTAAATTCATAGAGGATTGAGCTATCCATTTGGTTCCTGGTTTTGACGTCTATGGACTACTTCTAGAATCTCAGGCATTGTATCCAAAATACCAGCTGATAAAAGATCACAGGGAAGAGGGCTATTGTTCTCCTGCCATGTTTATCAGCTTCCTGAATGCATCTGGTTAGCCAGAATGTCAGACCAGATGGCCACCAATGAAACCATTACAGATCTTCTTACGTTCTTTAAAACGAAGCATTTAGATACTACACAGAAGTGTAAGATTTTCACTGATAGTGATGATGGAAGTTTTTTTCACAGTTTATTAGATGTGTTTGAATCTGTTTGACTGCTAATATGCCATTTTTGTTTGGTTTCCCACTGAAAACTGGTGGAAAATCTCTGTTGTTTATCAATAGCAAATTTTGCTAGCCACACTTTGTGTCTATAAGGGTTAAAAAATAGGTTTGGTGGCCAAATGGAGCCCTGGGACTATTGATAAATAATGTTTACAAACAGTACAGAAATCATCTATGTACAGAGTCATCTATTCTAGCCAGCATGTTAAGCTGCACAATATGATTGGTCTGATATATGTGGAAAATGTCTCTAAGTGTTTCTATAGCATTACTGGTCCTTGCTTTAAAAATATTTTAAACTTAAATATAAAAAGATTAAATATAATAAAAATATAAAAGAAAAGCAGAATAAAACAAGAGTAATTTAAAATAACATAAAAACCCAGAATAAACGGATAGATCATTTATATCTACATTTAATTAAAATGCCTATAGTTAATAGGATTCCTCTCTGATAATGTAATTAATAATATTCCCTGTTCGTCATATTAAAAATTATTTTTGTTTTGTTAACAACTTTTGGCAATCTCTGGACTGGATTGCCAACTACATTATGTCTTCAGTTTGTGTACTGCTGCTTTAATACAGACATTTTAATATAGACAATTTAATGTAGACATTTTAAAATAGAACATTTAGCATACATTTTCAACAAGAGTATTAAGTACTTACTTCTTGAACTTGTTAACTGTACACAACCAATAGTCTCTGTTCAGAGGTGTAAAAATATCAGCTTTTTGTTGCAAAACTGCTGCGAGACTGTGCCCATGAAAACAATTTTTTTTGGTGCTTTCTTCAGTCCAGTTTAGCTGGAAAAGGGAAGGCTTTCGCTTCTCAGTTAGGTCCAGGCAGCCAGTCAGGGTACGAAACTGTCTCTGAAGATCCATTACTACTTCTATACAAAACAAAATACTACAATAATAAAATACAACCATTCAAGATTGTTTAAGGTATACCCAAATATTTCAGGTGGTATGAAGGAAGCAAACTTCACATAACACACTCAAATCCTTTGGAGAATTGTCTTTGCCTCAAAGTCAGAAGAGATACAGGTGGTTAAAGCATGACTTTCAAGACTGTGGGTATCTCATGACTTGCATTTTAATTTTTCAACTCTTGTGTAGTTCACATGAACAGTTGAGTTGATGCAAACAAAAAGGGAAAATCTCATTCTCTTAAGAATGGATAACATAAATTTCCTTATCATGAATTTCTATTCTTGGAGTGTCACAAAGGGCATTTGTGACCTCAAAAGGGTAGCTCCGGGGGCAAGTAAGGCAGGATTAAATTTCTAATTTTGTCTCTTGTTTGTTTGTTTACTTGTTTCAGTTTAGGCACTGCCTGACTCCAAACCAATCCTGGGCAGCTCACAATATAATAAACAATAAAACACAACACAACACAATACAATACAAAACAAGATGGGATCCAGCTGCTCTATACAAAGACCTCTGCCCCCCCCAAAAAACCCCACCTCTTCAAGGGCAGGTATCATCTCAATTCCTAGATCAGACTGAAACAACAATGCAGTCTCTGAACCCAATACTAAAGTATGTCTGAAGTGAGAAGCTCTAACGACTGGAGCTTTCAACAAGCTAGAGTAGTTAAAACAGGCACAAAAGCACAAACAAGGGGAAAATCCAACAGTGCTGTTTAATGTTAATTTGTTGTTTAATTTAGGGGTTTTATTGTTGTTGTTGTTATATCTTATATCTGGTCCTAGGAAAAAAGAGATGGCCAAATGCCCTCCATGACACTTAAGAGAGCAAAAATTCACAGTAAGGAAATTATGTATTCCCCCCCCCCCCCCAGGCCTCATAAGGAGCATTTGCAATCTCAGGGTTTAAGAAAGCATTAGAAGGAAGCCTTCCAGGAATCAAACATTTCTGCACTGCCACTCTCAGAAGAAAACGTACAGTCAAAACATCTGTAGCCAGGCTAAAAATGTTAGTGAAGAGGGGCATAATAAAACTCAAGTGCTGCCTACATATCTACCATCAGGGAAGCTTAAACCATAACATGCCTGTTCTACCCAGAAAGGGAAATGCAAAATCTTAGTAGCCAGGGACATCCCATGAATAGCCAAGAAAATAAGCAACACAATCCTTTCTGGAAGAATCAAAGTGTTCTATGTGATCGCTGCCAATGCTATATTTCTCCTGAGAAGGAAAAGAACTTAGGCAAAATTAAAAGAGAGCCCTCCTGCGCATTGAGGAATTACATTGAGGGTAACATACTAGATCTCAGGGAGGAAGTATCAACTGAGAAACTTCAGTTGAAAGACTAGTTTCTGGCTAAAGAGTTTATGGCCAAGGAGATGGTCAGAAAAAGGTAATTTCAATTACAGGGAGAATAGGCTAAGCAGGGAAAATTCACAAGCAGATTTCTAGGGCTGCCCAGAGTTGTTGGCAACCCTAGAAATTTAAATAATAAGACTATAAAAATGAATTTTAATTCAATGTAAGAGAACATGACTAGTAGATAAAACTAAAGGATCTAATCTGAATAAACAGGTGGATAAGAGGAAAAACCTACTCTGCAGAAGCTATTCAATGCTGGTTCTGATATCTTAAGGAATTAGAAACGAAAAGTTTAACAAATCTGGCCTGCAGAGATGCCAAAAACCATCCCCAGTGTTCAGACATTTCCCTAACTGAACACCACAGAAGAAAGCTTTCCATTAAAACTCTTGGAGTGCCTACAGTAGAACCTTTCCTTGATTCTAACAACATTCCAAGCTCTTAGGGAATTCTGTTCCACTTGGCTCACTAAGTGGGACCGGTGTGGGGATCAAGATGACTCTTTTTCCTGTTGAGTTAAAATGAGAAATGTTCTTTGTTCTTTCTGGAAGGAGATACCCTTCCAAGGTGCTCTTATTAGGATGCAGAATGGGAAAGAGAGCCTGAAAATGATCGCCCTGGAAGGAACAGTTCTAAGAAATGCTTAACGTTGTATACTCAGAAAGAGTAGGGCAAATGGCTATTGGTAAATTACCTGGTGAATCACCTGTGTAAGATGAGCAGCTGTATAAATCATATAAACAAACAAACAAACAGACAAATGAATAAAATTAGTTCTATAATTGAGGAGCAAGTTATTTTAGGTTCTCATTGTCTGAACAAAAAGGAAAAGAACGTATATTTTAGGAAAGGGAAAGTAACAGTAAATATACTCGCGTTTTTTCTTGAGGACAACGTGCTTTTCAGAGGCTGAATATAATAACGGCTTCTCGCATCGCCATAAATGCCTAAGATGAAATAATGGTGGTGGGTGCATGGAGGAAACAGCATACATCTAAATACCTCCAAATGATCATGTTACAATCTAGTCCACCACCACCACCACCACCACCACCAGAAAGACATATACAGGTCCCCTACCTTAAGCTCTGAGCTGAGAGATACAGAGGTTACATTATGGCAAGCTCCCACGTACAGGGTTTTACATGACTTCTACCTCCACCATTATCTCTTCAGTATCATTATTCCTCCCTCAAATGGAAAATATGCTAAACTTGACCAGTACTGTCCTACTAGTAGCAGGGAGTACTACATGCAGGATGGATACAACTGAAGCTTGTAACTTAGCCTATGTCTTTTCTAAATCACTAAAAACATTATGGGAAAGCTTCAGTTAACCAAAGCCATGATGGGTGGTAGAGGTCAATATCTATGGGTCTAGCTGATGACTATGGCAAATGATGACCATCACATGGAGTATAAGAGGAGTCAATGATAAACACCATGAATTAACAGAAGAAATTAAAGAAAACTTGATATGTTGTGTGTTTGTGAGATTAAGGAGAAACAGGAAGGATGCAGGTCTGAATGACAGTGGCTTGATCTTTTACAGCTGAGTTGATAAAAACAGGCCTGGAAGTGAGGGTGTAGGTTTAATTATGAATGAAATGGCTAACCTGTGGTTTAGAGTAAAAATCCATAGGACAGTAACAGTTGTGTATGCTAGATGCCAGTTACTGGTGATAAAATAAGAGGTGAATTTGGAGAAAACTGTGCATTTTTCTGAATTAAAATTCTGAATTAAAGCGATTCAGAAGGAAAATTATTCTGTTAGGTTATATGAATGAGTGGGTGGGAACAAAATGAGGGAGTACAAAAAAAGTGCTTTTGGCCATTCGGAGATTCCAGAATGAATAAAAATGGTGACTATTTGATGAGCATCTGCTTAGAAAAATTATCTTTAATCACAAGTCTGTTTAATTGTATATATGGAAAAGGAATGGATAAAAAAGTGTGTTAAAAAGACTGAGTGAATTACTGAAGGATACAAGGATGATTAAAGTTTTGAATGTGGGGTCATTAGTTGATATGGAGGGGACCTTGGGGGAAAATGAACATGGAAGAAAACGGAATGAAAGAAACCAGAGTGAAAGTTGAAAGACTGCAGGAAGATAAAATATGAACTCAATATGAAAAGGTGATAGTAGTATAGTTTCTCAAGAGAATAAATAGAAAATGAATAGATGGAAAGAAGATGTGGAAGCTCTTTGGAACAGACTGAAACAAATTATATTACAGAATGCCATAGAAGAGTATGGAGCTATGGTAATGGAAGGTATGAAAAAGAATGCCAGGCAGAATGACCAAATGCAAGAGTCTGGGTGGATGAGCCGAAAAAAAAAGAAAAAAAAAATCAGCGGTGGGAGGAATTTGTGAACTTTTTAGAACTATCCATAATCTTGTAATATTATGACCTACAATGTGATCTGAGCTTCATCCAATTTCTGCTAATAGATATTCTGATTAAACAAGCCGCACACAAAGCAGTGCACTTTATTGTTTGTTTAAGTAGACTCTGTGTATTAGGAATCAGATAACCTCTGACACAGTAGTGCAGTATTACGTATGGTTCTAAAGAATTCACACTACATAAGCTAATGACTGCTGCAAAAATGATGAAAGAAGCATAGGATATAATGTGAAAAAAAGAAAGTTGCAAAGAACGTAATCAAAGAGAGCAAGAAACAGTTAAACAAGCAAACGCCTAAAGAAGGCATGGAAAATGCAGAGCAACTTTGATTATAATAAAACATTCTTCTCCAAGTGAATGAAGATGGCCGATAAGGAACCTCCAGCAGAATATTAGGAGTATTTTTGAGATCTGTATTGGAATGATAGTGATATACCAAAGAGTGGGACTGAAATGTAGTGAGTGTCCAAGAAAAACACTGATGAAAAGGAAATCATAAATACAGTGAGAATGTTGAAAAATTGGAAGGCTATATGTGTAGATGGTCTAACTAAAGAAATATGAAAATATAGATCTGATTTCCTTATGAAGTGGCCGTGTAACTTAGTTAACATGTGAGTATAAAGGCTGTGTCTGAAAATTGAAAGAATGCTGTACTGGTCCTCTGTACAAAAGGAAATAAGCAAATAGAAATGCAAAACTTATCCTGGGGTTAGTTTATTAACACTTGGTTAAGTATTTGGCAGAATCTTGATTGAGAGAGGATGCCAGATTACAATGAGCAAAATTTGGAACATGATAATTTACTAAGATACATGCTCATGGCTGCAAGAATACATTTTGCCCAACATTAGAAGAAAGATACAACACCAACGATACCTGATTGAGAACTTAAACTTGGAGAATAGCAGCAATGGCAAAACTAACAGCATATATCCACAACAGAAGTCTAACCATATTCAAGCAAGAATGGTTTCCATATATGCAATATATCACGCTGAGCATGAAACTGAGCCAACTCAGGGAGGCAGTGAAGGACAGGAAGGCCTGGCGCAATATGGTTCATGGGGTCACAAAGAGTCGGACACGACTTAACGACTGAACAACAAATATATCACATAGCAAGGCAAATACAAACACACTATGGTTTCTAAGGGGGTCTAAATATTTATACTCACTGCAAATTGGTCAGAGTATACAGAAAGGGGAAGTTAGACAGAAAAAAAAAAAGCAACCAGATCAATGTAGCAGTAGTGTAGATTGGAGTAGTAGTCTAGAATATTTATTAAACAGGGGGAAATGGACGGAGACATTTTAAGATGAGTAAATGGTAGCAGGTAGTATGTGGTCTGCTGCAAAGAACAAACATTTGTTAAAAAGGTGAAATGGCTATGTTTAAGAGGAGGCTTCTGTCCACTTTGTTACAAGGAAATGAAAGTTGGGTATGTCAAGGAAACAAAGAAGTTGAATGTTGTGGAAAGGGGCTATTTTAAAAGTCTGACATAAAAAACAAGAAGAGATAAGAGTCAAGAATGAAGAATGTGAATATTAAAGTGACTGATGTGTACTGAGCTGGTTTGGTCATACAGAGAGAATGAATGAGGATCCAGTTGCAAAAGAAATATATGAAGGGTGAATAGGTTGAGAGGAAGGGGAAAACTGATAAAATCATCATTGACTGAAGTTGATGAGATCCTGAAAAGAGGGAAGATTAAAGGACAAAAGGCAATGTATGAAGCAATGTATACGTATGGGGGAAGCAAGACTGGTTCATATGGATATAAAGATATGGAGAGATATAGTGAATGGTGTTGGTGTAAACTAGATTAAGCTGTATTTCCTTTTTTTTTTCTTATCATGCCTTATTTTCTTTGGCTCACTATTTCTTACTTCTTTGCTTTGTTTTGCATAACACTGCTTAACCTAAAAGGGAATATCACAATAAATACAGTAGGTATGTAAGAAATATACCTGATTCTTTCTTCATTAAATTTCTTCTGCTCCACATCCAGAATATTCTTTACAACCATGTACCATTTTCTAATATCAAAAACTGGACAACCTGTAGTAAAAAAGAACTTGTAATTTTTCTCCTTCTTTCTCCTAAAAAAACTTAAAAGCATTCAATAGAGAGTAAGCTCAGAAACAGAGACAAGCCTTATTACACAAAGAAACCACACTAACTTCCTCCACACTGTAATTAAGAGTACTAGGATGATTTTTTGATATCCTAAGATTAAGGGCATATATTAGCTAATATAAACAAATCCAGTTCCTAATGCAAATTTTCTAAGATAGTGATTTAATCCCACATAACCTACACTGAAGCCTATAAAATGGTTTCATCAGCTTGTCACCCTGTGACAAAACAATCTTTATTAAACCATAACAGTCATAGGACACATGGAGCTACGACTGATGAAAACCTATAGGTCATCAAAATAGTTTAGTACTAATCACAGTTATGGACAGCAGGAACATTTGAGGGAAATGTGCATCAAAACAGTGAGGGATTGAGAAAGAAAAGCATAAACCTGTAGCCAATCTGTGAATCTCTGTGATTAACTGGTTAATTCACATGACCTCTAAATTCAGCCACTCAGAACTTACATTCTATGGTATCTGCTATGCTACTCTCCGTATGTCTAAAATTTAAGACAGTGCAACCCCTTGAACATTCTTAAAGTCATCTGCCAACATATTCCAAATTATGCAGAGTTTTTTGTTTCCTTTTTCATAATTTCAAATATTGTTCAGTTCACATAATGCACCAGATGAGCCTTCACAATTATCTCACAGATACTTTAAGAGGAATGGTTGAAATTACAAAGCTTAATCTAGATTGTTATTAAAAAAAGCTTGGTACCTTCTTTGTCTTCTTTGTTTCTTTCCTCTGCATAGTTTGCTAGCAGCCTGAAAATATAGTATATTAATCAGATTTGCTATTTATTGGAATCATGACCCCTGTGTTTAAACTTGTCAAATGTATTTAATATCTGAATTACTACAGCCAGAGCATTCAAAATTTTAACAGCCCAGGAGTCTAAACTGTCAGCCTCATATTTACACTATTTACAAACTAGCACCTGCTGCATCAGAGGGGTACATCACTAAATTTTCACATGTAAAAATTCAGGTTGCCAGCGCAGCGCTAATATTAAACCTCACTGCATTGAAACAAGTGTTATCTGCTGCCACATGAGCTAAATAATACTTTAATATTAGGTTCAATAAATTCTGATACTATTAGAGCTTCAATGAACACTCGTGATCTGTTTTAGGAAAAAGGAAATCCAAGTGCAATTTATTTATTGTTTATTTATTAGCTTTATATACTGTCTTTTGTACAGGAGCGCAAAACTGTGTACATAGTGCTGACTCCTTTTTGACCCACAACAATCCTGCGAGGTAGGCTGGGCTGAGAGAACCTGACTGGCCCAAAGCCACCCAGTGAGCAGCTGTGGCTGAAATTAACATGAATCAAGCAATAAGATACCTTTTATGTAATCCGATTTCAATTTCTTTAGCTTTTTATAATTAAGAATACTTGACTACCATTTTTGCAATTCACAGCTGCAATGTTAAGTAATCTTTTTTATGTATCAATGAACACTTACCACTCATATTCATCATCCAGCAAGAATAGAATTTTCAGCACTACTATAATAACAGCTATGGCAAGAATATCATATTTCACTTTCCAAGTTGATTTATTACCAGGATGGAGCGTCAAAAAGTCTGTTTCACCAACACCAATTTTTTTTACCACTCTGCAAGTCCATTTATTCATATCATCTGAATGAAGAAAAAATGATTAACTGAGCGTAGCAGTAGCCTCAAATATTACAGAATTCAACTTTCTGAAATAGTGGGGTAGATATTCTTTATTTGTACAATTCTCTATTTATACAATGTACAATGGGGTACATATTCTCTATCTGAAATAGTTATATGGTTGCAAGTAAACATGTTTGGTCCTTAGGAATTAGTATTTCAGATAGCATGGAAAATCATACTAGAACATCTTTCAGCAGAAAATAGCCCAGGTCAGTAAAAACAATTAAGTAGTTACTTTGGGCATTATATAATCAAAGTAAAACTCCATAAAGTTCCACTGATTTTGCTAGAAAACATAAGTAAACAAAAACTTAATGCACCAAGTATAATTAAATCATAGTTCTGAATTTTGACTATCTGATCATGCCTTCAGATGCTGCAAAAATAAAGTTTAAACAGCATACTTGCTAAAGTTTTATAGGTTGATAGTATGATAGCACTGTTTTTTAAATAGAGAGGAACTCTTTTTAACTGTTACACTAAATTAAGAGCATACTGCTGTAAGAACATTTCTGACTTTTCAAGTTTAGCAAGGATATCATGAATCAACTACTTCACTAGATTCCAGAGATGGTCTGAATCTACAGTCTGAGATGGATGGATGGATGGATGGATGGATGGATGGATGGATGGATGGATGGATGGACGGACGACCGACTGCTTGTTCATTCTACCCATTAACTTAATATAGGGTCCCCTGCTTCAAAAACTAAGACTTTGAACAAGAAGAACATTTAAGCAACTAGAAGGTATTGAAGTAGACTACTAAATGTTCCCTTACCAGGCAAGTTAACTTCCATCAAATATTTCATGCAAAGAATGTTTGGATGAAGGAAACTGCGCTCTGTTATAGCTGGAAAACAAGGCAGGTCCATGAATTCTGCAAGGGCATGCATTTTTTTATGAACATCATCATACTTAGGCCAAGACTGAAAAACAAAATATGTAAATAAGTATTAAAAGATGTTTTGGATGTTTTGGGTTACGAGTATGTGTGTATGAACAAACTCATTTTCTACATGATCATCCCCATTTTGCTCAAGACGGAAGCCTGTGTTTTCTTAGCTACCCTACAGAGCCCCAAGGATTATGCAGAGTTCTTCCAGCCTGAACTTTAATCAGTTATGCTCTTTTGAGAAATATCTAGCTAAAACATAAATATCACAGGAAGAAATTAAGTAAATTTAATTTTAAATTATTTGTTTGCAATAATTTCAGACTGCATTATCATTATTGTCATGCATATATCATCACTGATATATATGGTGTGTGTGTGCACGCATATATATATATAAGGATAAAATAATAAAATAATGATAATGATTATAATACCATTTGCCTGCAAGCAAGAACTGCTGGGACCACAAAACAGACAAAGCAATAGAAAATGAAGAAGCTAAAGTGCTCTGGGATTTAGAATTCAGACAGACAAGCACCTGCCACACAACACTCCAGACTTAACAATTGTTGATAAGACAGATAAAAAAGTCTGGAGAGTGGACACTGCAATACCTGGAGACAGCAGAAGAAAAGAGAAAGAATTGGAGAAAATCACAAAATATAAACACCTGCAAATAGAATTAGAATGACTATGGCAAAAGAAAGCAAAGATAGTACTGTACCAATAATAATAGGTGCCTTGG